TGGGACTCTGAACCAAAAGATGAGTTCCCACTGAACTTGGGGTGCTGGGGGTTCCTGGGGCACCCGTGGGAGCTGATGAGGGGCAGGGGAAGGACTCAGTGGGGAACAGGGTGCCCTGGGACCCCACTATTATGAGACCAGTGTCCCCAGACCCTGGCAGAGCCCATGGCATCATGTTCCCATCTCCTGGGGGTTCCCAGCTGGCTGCACACCGTGATGTGCCCCTGCTTCCCCACCCTCATTCCCCTCTGCCCCCAGGCTGCAGGAGAACCGGGAGCAGGAGAGGGCCACGTCCTCAGGTGAAGAGTGTCCTGGTCCTGCAGAGCAACCTGGCTGTGACCCCAAACCCAGAGGCCTGAGTGAGTCCAGGGGGGTTTCCCGGGAATGGCAGGGGGGTCCTGCCGGTGCCAGAGGGCAGAGGCTCGTGCTGGACGGGAGCCAGGACTGGAGGTCGGTGGGGTGGCAGGAGGAACCCCCACACTGGAGGTGCCCCAACTCCCCTGGGATGCAGTTCCCGCATCCTGTGTAGGCCAAAACCCTACACAGCGGTGGGCACAGGGGACTGAATCCTGCGGGGACGACGCCGGGACATCACTCCGCTTGGCTCCTTTCCCCCCTCTTCCCAGTTTCTCAGCGAGCTCCAGGAATGACCCATTTCTAAGGAGCCGGCGCGGGGGCGGGTGCCGCGGCGCTGCTGGCTCCTCACACCCACCGCCGGATCACCCGCTTTCCCGAGGGCTGAATACGAGCTCCCCGCTGCAATGTTGGGGACGCCCCAGTCCCCTCTGGCTCTTGCTTCGGGGGGAGATTTTGGGGCGGTTCCTGGAGGGATGCTGGGGCGGCGGTTGCCAGGGCAGCGGCAGCGGAGGATGGCGGGATGCTCCAGGGATGTGCAGGGACGGGGAAAAAAGAGAGCCAGGAGCTTGGCCGGGTGATTTGAAGGGACAGAAGTCGGTCAGAGATGAGGTGGCTCCAGACAGAGCCCGTCTTTGACGCGGGGGCCCGGCACCGCAGCCAGAGGATAAGGGGGTTCAGCGCTGAGCCCCGATTTGGGAAGCGCTGAAACCGGGCGCGAGCTGGAGGGTGTTCCGGGAGGAAGCAGGAGGGAGTAAGCGGGGCTGGCATGCGCCCAGCGCAGCTGCCTGAAGACCTTGGGGAGGTTTTGGGATGAGGCCGAGCGGGTTTGGCGCTGGGGAAGGGGCCGGCTCCTTTCCTTCCCTCCAGTCACTCCGGCCCGCGGCACCTCCCGGGGCTCCGTTGGACCCAGCCAGAGGGTATACGGGACATTGGGAGGCCCCAAGGGTCACCTCCTCAGCCCCAAAATGACACAACACCCGCAGATTTGCCCCCCACAGAGGGCCCTTCGGGGTGCAGTTTGTGCAACCATCCTGCCCCAGCAGCACCTTTTGGTGCAAAACGTTGGTTTTTTTGGCCACCCTTTACCGTCCCATTCATGTTGCATTATTTTGGGACTCCTCAGCAGTACCACGGGCTGAACCCCGGAACACCCTCCCGGGGGTGGGCTGGGGGGCACGCGCCGCCCCCGGCCCTCCCGTCCTTATCTCGGCAGCAGTGATGGGCTCTAATGCAATATTTCCCGGCGGTTGCCATGGCAGCCCGCGTGAGGTCACCAAATAGACTTAATTCACCCCTTCCGAGGGACGGGTAATT